GACCTGGAGGTGAGAAACAACAGGAAGGAGAAAATCTCAATAGCAAGGGTGAAAAGTATCTTTGGAATTTGTCAGGTGGCTGAAGGGTTTCTTCTAAATATCAGAGGCTCATCTGACTTTTCCGAGATCTGGTAAATAATTATTTTTTTACATTCTGTAACCATGCCTTCAGATTGTAGCTTGAGTTCACTTTAAAATCTCCTGTCAGGATAGTTTGTAGAAAAGAAAGATGGTGAGTAGACCATGTGCAATGATAAGGACTGACTTAGGAGAAGACCACTGAGAAGGAGAAAGATTTCCAAGGCACATCAGAGCTCACATTAAAACAGAACAAACAGAACAAACGTTGTGTTTTGTTATGTTTTTGTTATGGTGTAATGTTTTTATCTATTGTAATGCCTTAAATTTTCTCTATTCTAGTTTATATTTTTATGATTGCTTTAAGGTTAGAACTAAATCTAGCTAGCATTTTTGCTACTGAAAGTCACACCTAATACAGCTCATGTAAATTATTTAGAGAATGATTTTTACAATATGACAGTTTAATTTCCCAAAGTATTCTTGATGGTGTAGCTCAATATAAAGTGTAACATGCTGGATACAATGAGAGTAGACAGCTGGATTTCTTTTGCCACCAAATCTCTGGATGAGAGTGTCAAAGTCATTCTGTTTAGTGTTCCCATACATTTCCTTGTGTACTGTTACATGGTTAAGGATTGTATTAGGTAGTGTTTTTAGTGTAGAAGTATGAATTATAGTTCCTTCATATTTTAGGAATGCTAATACATCTTCCCTTTGTAAACAGACAATACTAAGGGAAAGTAATTCATACTTGATTCCAAACCCCAGCCTACACTGACAGTTTAGCTTTAGGTAGAAGTAGGGTTAATACATGATGTAATGTCACTTTACAATAGTTGTGAATCTCAAGTAGTCACTACTGCATCCTGGTCTCCTCCAGAAAATGTTGCTTTAGAAAAATAGAGTGATTTTGATAGGTTTCACTGTTCATGGGCTTCCATAAAGTCATTGACCTTGGGAACCAGGTGAAAAGTAGTTGATACACTATTGTAATGCCTGACTGCTCAAGGAAGTATATTAGGATGAGATAGCCTAGTAGAATTGTAATTTTTATGAAAATGCATTTTATAAGTACATATTTCTTTTGGAAACAACACATTTCCTGTGTTGTGAGGAAGTTTTAGTGTCCTCTTTTCTAAAAAAGGGAATCTTGTGGAAAAATTCCTAAAATGGATATACAATTTTCAAAGAGATTTGCTTCTTGAAACATCCCTAAAAGTGATGCCAATAAGTTGGGTTTTTTGCAGACATTTGAAAATGGTATGGGACAGAAGGATATATCTTTTAAAGAAAAATTAGCTACTTGTATCCAGAGACTACATAAACTAATTATTTGCCTGTTTAACATTTGACACAAATATGCGGCCTGTTTGTGGCCTGCAGTAGTAGTGTCCCAGTTGGGAGACCCACAGCAGTGAGAAAGGATAATGTCCCTACTCTTAGCAGGAGCAATAGCAGAGGCTATGCCCTTCACTGACAAGGGACGTGCATGAGAATTGGGCTGTTTTCCTGTACTCATTCTTTTTGAGACTCCATTTGATTTTGGTAGGTGTCTGTTCTGATAAGATGTCCTTTTCTGCCCATTAGTGGTTTCACTTGAAGTTCAAGTTATACTTTTTATACCCTAGAGTCTAAAATAGAAATCTCTAAATTTTCTGCAAATATAGTTTTACTAACAGTTCATAAAATGTTTATTTTCTTGTAATTAGTATTTTATGAATGTTTTGAAGTTCTTTCGAGAGCAGATAGATAGAAATATAGTTTGATGTTTTGTTTAATAAGGTGATCATACATCAACTTATCAAATGGACTGTATGAGTTTTAAGGTCTCTTCTAATCCAGAGAGTGTGGAGGTTATTTAGCATTGTATAATAAAATTTGTCCTGGCAGGTTGAATTTGGGGGAATTTAAAAATATTGCTGTTAACAGTGCTACTTAATTAAAAAAAAACTTTGTGTACTAAATTGTTATGAATTCTGAATCACTATTCGTTAATGGGAACTCAACTTATGATTTCATACCAATATGATAAGTGGTCGTTGACCATTTCTTTTTTAGTATTTTATATGCTGGCACTGTCACCTTAACCATTTCTGAGATCAGTCAGTGCCGTGTTTCACCTTTTTATAATTTGATTTTTGCTTGTGAAAACAGAAAGGCCTATATCCTGATGTATACCTCTTTCACCTAATTGTGTATGTTGATCTTTTGTTTATCTTGCAGTCCCTGCTTCTATCCGTTATTCCCATACAGACGTCAAAGTGCCTGACTTCTCCGACTATCGTCGCACTGAAGTGTTAGATGGTACAAAGTCTTCAAAAGAGAGCAGTGAGGCTAGAAAAGGTTTCTCCTACTTGATAACTGCAACAACTACTGTCGGTGTTGCATATGCTGCCAAGAATGTTGTCTCCCAGTTTGTTTCCAGCATGAGTGCTTCTGCAGATGTGTTGGCCATGTCGAAAATTGAAATCAAGTTATCTGATATTCCAGAAGGCAAGAACATGGCTTTCAAATGGAGGGGCAAACCCTTGTTTGTGCGGCATCGAACCAAGAGGGAAATTGAACAGGAAGCTGCAGTTGAAGTGTCCCAGCTGAGGGACCCACAGCATGATTTAGACCGAGTGAAGAAACCTGAGTGGGTTATTCTGATAGGTGTTTGCACCCATCTTGGTTGTGTACCCATTGCAAATGCAGGAGATTTTGGTGGTTATTACTGCCCTTGCCATGGGTCACACTATGACGCATCTGGCAGGATCAGGAAGGGACCTGCACCTCTCAACCTTGAAGTTCCCTCATATGAGTTCACTGGTGATGATATGGTGGTTGTTGGTTAGAGAGCTGAACTCAAGTTATAGGCTTCTTTCAGTCTTCATGTAACCTCAGAAGACTTATTTGAAAGCAGTCCTTCTGTACTTAAAGTTGGTTGATTTGAAATATTAAGAACTGCTAATAATGTATTTTTAAACACGTAAAGTAAATTGAGTTTAATGTTGAATAAAGCTGCCACCTAATAAAGCCACTGTTAAACATTGTTAAGCTCTGTCAAAGACTTGAAAGGTACAGTGTCTTTGATAGTTAATTCTAATTAAAAAATTGCAGACTGGTTATACCAAATATTTGTGAAATCTATAATTGACTTTCTCATTTATTTACGTCCTTTGTGTCAGAGACAGAGTCTACAGAGCTCATTACAATGAGGTAAAATAAGCTGGTCATCTCCCAGTTCTGGGAGATGTTCATGGCATTGGCAGACACAATAGTATCCGGGTGAGTCCTGTATGTTGTCGTTGATCCCATCTCCCTTTCCCCAATAATCTCTATGGGAATGTTGAATGTAATCTATGGGAAAGTCCTGAATGAGGTGTTAGCAGCCCTGGGGGTTTAGCCCCAGCTCTAGCTAGCTGATTGCCTGCCTATGTCATAGGCCAGGAAATTGTATTAATCACTTATGGGAGTAAGTGGGAGGGATGAAAGGAAAAGGGGATGTCTTGCTAATGGGTTTCAGCCCCTGGCAAGTTCACTGTGGATTGAATGTGACCAAAGAAAATGACAGTAAAACGTTCTTTGGGGTGAAAGGGTTATACCCAACTTTATTTCCACAGTGGCAGGTCAGTCACTAAAATCCTGTTCATGCAGCAAGCTGGTATCTGCCTTTGGGCATCTCTGCCTGCAAAGCCATGCTCTGGGCCTCTCTGCCTGCACAGTCGTCCTCACAGCTATCCTCTGGGCCTCTGTCCTTGGCACTGCCACCACTCCAGCCTCTGCTCTGCTCTCCTGCAGCCTTGCAGCAGTGCCACCCTGTTGCCCAGAACACCAGGCGGAGCCTTTTATATAGAACAATAGCAATGTATTGCCCACACGTGTATAGTGAGGTAGCCAACCAGGGCCAGGTGAGAATCCTGCCCACAGGAACTTTCATTTTATCCACACTGTTCTCTAGTTGAGAACACCATTAGGGGACCTCCTGCACTCTGGGGGGATGCTTCCTTTCAGTGTGCAGGAAAATCTTGTTTGGCTCTAGGAGCCTATGGACTCCAGTTGGAAAACCGATTGTAGGGAGACGTCCTGGCGGCCTGTTCTCCAAACCTCAGCCACCCTTTCTCGCCCTCCCACAATGGGCAATTCTCCCTCAAAAACATTGGGAGACACTCCCCTCAGCTGTCTCCTACGTAATCTTTCCCGATTAGGTTTAAAGGAGACATGAAACCAAACCACATGGCTTCTATATAAACTCGACAATGGGTCACAGCGGCTAGCTGAGGGCAATTTCTATTTCCAAATTCTCTGACATTTTAGTAACTTCCTCCAGAATACTGGCAAATGGTTAGAGATTCCCTAAATCCAAGGCTTCACCCTCCCTGAGAAACCTTTGTTCTCCACTTAACTCTGACCTCCCACTGAGAACCCACCTCTGCGGCCTAGCCTGCAGCCTGCAGGAGAAACATAGCCAAGGGTCAAAACCTCTTTCTTAACACAGCAGTGTTCTTTTTCCCTCACAACTGCCTGCCTCAGCCCAGACAACTGGAGATGATCTTTCCTAACTAGTCTGGTAGTCTCCCCCAGGGACCTTAACTTCCTATTGTCTACTGGCGAGGCTCCCAGATCTCCGGGAGGTGTGTCTGGCCAAAACAGTCCCTTTATGCCTTTTGCATACTCTATATAGGCCTTTTGCTGACTAAGAGCTCAGGTGAGAGCCGGACAAAAATGCCTTTTTTTCTTTCATCTGGTGCTGAAACCAATATGATAAGTGGTCGTTGACCATTTCTTTTTTAGTATTTTATATGCTGGCACTGTCACCTTAACCATTTCTGAGATCAGTCAGTGCCGTGTTTCACCTTTTTATAATTTGATTTTTGCTTGTGAAAACAGAAAGGCCTATATCCTGATGTATACCTTTCACCTAATTGTGTATGTTGATCTTTTGTTTATCTTGCAGTCCCTGCTTCTATCCGTTATTCCCATACAGACGTCAAAGTGCCTGACTTCTCCGACTATCGTCGCACTGAAGTGTTAGATGGTACAAAGTCTTCAAAAGAGAGCAGTGAGGCTAGAAAAGGTTTCTCCTACTTGATAACTGCAACAACTACTGTCGGTGTTGCATATGCTGCCAAGAATGTTGTCTCCCAGTTTGTTTCCAGCATGAGTGCTTCTGCAGATGTGTTGGCCATGTCGAAAATTGAAATCAAGTTATCTGATATTCCAGAAGGCAAGAACATGGCTTTCAAATGGAGGGGCAAACCCTTGTTTGTGCGGCATCGAACCAAGAGGGAAATTGAACAGGAAGCTGCAGTTGAAGTGTCCCAGCTGAGGGACCCACAGCATGATTTAGACCGAGTGAAGAAACCTGAGTGGGTTATTCTGATAGGTGTTTGCACCCATCTTGGTTGTGTACCCATTGCAAATGCAGGAGATTTTGGTGGTTATTACTGCCCTTGCCATGGGTCACACTATGACGCATCTGGCAGGATCAGGAAGGGACCTGCACCTCTCAACCTTGAAGTTCCCTCATATGAGTTCACTGGTGATGATATGGTGGTTGTTGGTTAGAGAGCTGAACTCAAGTTATAGGCTTCTTTCAGTCTTCATGTAACCTCAGAAGACTTATTTGAAAGCAGTCCTTCTGTACTTAAAGTTGGTTGATTTGAAATATTAAGAACTGCTAATAATGTATTTTTAAACACGTAAAGTAAATTGAGTTTAATGTTGAATAAAGCTGCCACCTAATAAAGCCACTGTTAAACATTGTTAAGCTCTGTCAAAGACTTGAAAGGTACAGTGTCTTTGATAGTTAATTCTAATTAAAAAATTGCAGACTGGTTATACCAAATATTTGTGAAATCTATAATTGACTTTCTCATTTATTTACGTCCTTTGTGTCAGAGACAGAGTCTACAGAGCTCATTACAATGAGGTAAAATAAGCTGGTCATCTCCCAGTTCTGGGAGATGTTCATGGCATTGGCAGACACAATAGTATCCGGGTGAGTCCTGTATGTTGTCGTTGATCCCATCTCCCTTTCCCCAATAATCTCTATGGGAATGTTGAATGTAATCTATGGGAAAGTCCTGAATGAGGTGTTAGCAGCCCTGGGGGTTTAGCCCCAGCTCTAGCTAGCTGATTGCCTGCCTATGTCATAGGCCAGGAAATTGTATTAATCACTTATGGGAGTAAGTGGGAGGGATGAAAGGAAAAGGGGATGTCTTGCTAATGGGTTTCAGCCCCTGGCAAGTTCACTGTGGATTGAATGTGACCAAAGAAAATGACAGTAAAACGTTCTTTGGGGTGAAAGGGTTATACCCAACTTTATTTCCACAGTGGCAGGTCAGTCACTAAAATCCTGTTCATGCAGCAAGCTGGTATCTGCCTTTGGGCATCTCTGCCTGCAAAGCCATGCTCTGGGCCTCTCTGCCTGCACAGTCGTCCTCACAGCTATCCTCTGGGCCTCTGTCCTTGGCACTGCCACCACTCCAGCCTCTGCTCTGCTCTCCTGCAGCCTTGCAGCAGTGCCACCCTGTTGCCCAGAACACCAGGCGGAGCCTTTTATATAGAACAATAGCAATGTATTGCCCACACGTGTATAGTGAGGTAGCCAACCAGGGCCAGGTGAGAATCCTGCCCACAGGAACTTTCATTTTATCCACACTGTTCTCTAGTTGAGAACACCATTAGGGGACCTCCTGCACTCTGGGGGGATGCTTCCTTTCAGTGTGCAGGAAAATCTTGTTTGGCTCTAGGAGCCTATGGACTCCAGTTGGAAAACCGATTGTAGGGAGACGTCCTGGCGGCCTGTTCTCCAAACCTCAGCCACCCTTTCTCGCCCTCCCACAATGGGCAATTCTCCCTCAAAAACATTGGGAGACACTCCCCTCAGCTGTCTCCTACGTAATCTTTCCCGATTAGGTTTAAAGGAGACATGAAACCAAACCACATGGCTTCTATATAAACTCGACAATGGGTCACAGCGGCTAGCTGAGGGCAATTTCTATTTCCAAATTCTCTGACATTTTAGTAACTTCCTCCAGAATACTGGCAAATGGTTAGAGATTCCCTAAATCCAAGGCTTCACCCTCCCTGAGAAACCTTTGTTCTCCACTTAACTCTGACCTCCCACTGAGAACCCACCTCTGCGGCCTAGCCTGCAGCCTGCAGGAGAAACATAGCCAAGGGTCAAAACCTCTTTCTTAACACAGCAGTGTTCTTTTTCCCTCACAACTGCCTGCCTCAGCCCAGACAACTGGAGATGATCTTTCCTAACTAGTCTGGTAGTCTCCCCCAGGGACCTTAACTTCCTATTGTCTACTGGCGAGGCTCCCAGATCTCCGGGAGGTGTGTCTGGCCAAAACAGTCCCTTTATGCCTTTTGCATACTCTATATAGGCCTTTTGCTGACTAAGAGCTCAGGTGAGAGCCGGACAAAAATGCCTTTTTTTCTTTCATCTGGTGCTGAAACCCGGGAGGGGATGCAAACTCAACAGTCCAAGCAGGTTTATTGCTAAAACTGAGAGAGACACCTCTGTTCTGGTGAGCAGAACAAAGGGAAAAAGGGGTCTCTAACAGGCCAAGAGGCTTTTTATGGTCAAGATATTTGGCGAGCTCTTTGAGGTGAGGGGTCAAGGAAAAAATGGGCTTGTGGCTTGCTGACGTGTCCTCTATAGAATGCTTGTAACCTAAATAAGATAAAGTCTAGGTCTCTCCGAGATAGCAGGTCCGGATTCTATCATTCTCCGTTTTAAATGGAGGACTTTCTGACCTGTAGAGCAATGGAGATTTCCAAGGAAAAGTTGGTGTTGCTTAATTTAAAAGTAGTGAAATTCTATCATTATGTGTAAGCAACATTAGACAGCTAGTATTTGTGTTAATATTTTGAGCCTCTCATGTGAAGTCCCCTCCCCCTCCATCATATCATGAGGCCAAGAGAAGTTGGGATGTTTGTCTTGTTTATCATTGTGAAGATTCTGTTTTCTAATATTCATGAGAAAAGTCATCTTACACTTGTACTCCATGCTACTTTTTTATGGTGTCAGTTACCCATAATTTATTGTTTAAAACTATACCAATATACCTATTATAAACTGACAAATTTTGAGGCTGAGTTATAAGTGGCTACTTCTGTTGTAAAATGGTACTAGGAGGCGTTATTCATCACTTCAGAATATACTTATGTAGGAACTTTGCTGGTATATGTTTTAAATCAAAGAATTTTTACTTGGAGGAACTTTATGAGATTATAGTGCCCCTTGTAATTTGAAGGTGAATTGTTAAGCTTGGGGTTGAGATGTTGGAACTTTACTGAATGAATCCTTAGAACCCAGCAAATTTGGATGGCTTCTGTCATCCTATGTAAAAGTTGAAAGTAATTTTGTTTCTTTGGACATAGTTGACGCTGCTGAGCTTCTAATATATCTGTGAGTGTGGAGTATGGGGTAGAAGTACTGGAGTAGAATTTAGGGTTTTAATTCTGTTTTTGCCATTTCCTAGCCATGGAACCATGGGCCTGTCAGTTAACCTCCTTTGGACATTTGTTTTCCCACCCATAAAATTGGGATGGTTGGATTAGAGGATCGCTAAGAGTCCTTCCAATTTAAGATTTTGTGAGATTCTCAGCCCCACCCCTATGACAGGAATGGGTTTTCTTGGATAAGCATTTGATGTATTTGCAGTATTATCAAAATAAAGAGATCCATACTCAGAGAAGCAACATTATTTTAATCAACTGACCCAACCTTCTACAATAGTAGTACTCAACGAGGGGCATCATTACTATTCCAATGGGGTGTTTGTGGCCATTATTTGATGGTCATAATGATTGGAGGGTGGTGCTGGAACTGGTGGGGGTGGGAGGAGGAATGCAAAGTGTTCAGTTGGGAGGTGGACATGGGTCCACACACAAAGGGAGTTGTGCTGCCAAAAATGTCAACACTCCTTCCCTGGAGAGAACTACTGATAACCAATATTACATCTTCCCACCCTGCAGTGATACCTCAGAATTGTTTATGGTTATATATTTGAAATGCCAAAACACAACTGCATGAGAGACTCCATGGCAATGGAGGACAAAAATAGGCAGTTGCCGGCCTGTGGATGTGTCACAGGCATTCTGTGCTGGAATTGCTCTACTTGCGGGGCAGCCTGTCTTTTTTGGTAAACCTAGGCTGATGTTAAACTTGAATCCCAGTATCCCATTTAGTTTTCATAAGAAGGCTGTTCCACAGGTGGTAGAACCAGTCAAGTGACTTGATACTACTTTGCTAGATAAATACAGCATTATTTCACGGAACAAAATCTTAGATATTTCGGGAAATGACAGAAGAAATTTTGTTGGCATTCTGACATCAGATATTAACATGTACTTCTTTTTACTGGGAATAAAGATTAGGATAATCTTGAGATCCATGCCTTTTCATTATGCTTTTAAAAAAAGAAAAATACCTTGTAATGAAATTTTGCATTGTTTGTTAGAGGTAATCTCCAATTTACTTTGGTCTTTCCAAGCACACTTTTGTAAACTCTATCTTTGACTCAATCTTAGGGTGTAGAAGGCATCTGTCCTTATTTGATAAAAGGCTTGGAATCAAAACGTGCTATTAGTACCCTAATTTTTCTGAACAATAGGAATACTATTTATCTGAATGCCAGAAGTCATTCTTCATTTCTACAGTGCTGGAACTGACATGTTCTGTATTTTCATGTCATTTGAATATCATTGCAGTTTGTGTATTACCCCAAAATAAATTTTCATATTTTTCAGAATGATATCCTTGGCCCACTGTTCTAGCACACTTTCCCTCATTATCACCTATTTGCTAATGACTCCCCTGTGTTACTTCTATGAGCCTCATACGTTTACCTGCTTACTAGGCATTTATGCGTGGATGTTTCATGAACACCATAAACTCAAAATGTTCAAAAAGAAAGGAAGTCATCTTGTTTCCCATAAGCCATCTTCATTGCAGTTGGTGGTCAATCCATCTACCCAGTAACCTACTTGGCAAGCAAAAAACCTCTAGTCTCTTCTGCCTCCTTTTCCGTCCTTCTCCCCACCTAGGCCTAAAATCAATCCCCACACCTTGCTAATTCTATTTCCTTCATAAAACAGGGGCATTTCTGTCTCTGTAATGTGTAGCATTCCAAATGGCAAACTCTGAGCATCAACTCCTAGCCATGAGGCAAACTGTACATATGTATATGATTTCATTTACTCCTCAAAAAAATCCTAACACGTAATGTTATTCCTGTTTATAGATAGAGAAACTGAGACATATGGAAGTCACTTGTCTACAATTTCGCATAGCTGGTAGGTTGGCAGAGCCAAAACTTTATTTTAAGCCAGGGATTGTGATTCCAGAGCCTATAGTCCAGATCACCATCCTATATATACCAATCTACCTGTCTGTGTGTGTGTGCTATACATACACACATACACACGCCAGTGCTTTAATTGAGGCCTTGTTAATTCTTTCCTGGTTTACTGCAGCAAGATTCCAGACAGGTCTTTGTTTCCTCCAATCCTGTCCCCTTAAAACCCATCCTCCACATAGTTGCCAGGTAGTTTAGGGGTTAAAAGTATGGGCTTGGTTCCTGGAAGCCAGTCCTGGCTCTGCTGTTTCCTACACATCTGACCTGGCATAAATCACTTAATCTCTGTGCCTCTCATGTTTACCTGCTTACTAGGCATTTGTGCATGGATGTTTCATTAACACCATAAACTCAATCTTAGGGTGTAGAAGGCATCTGCAAAATAGTACTCCCTCAGAGATAGCTTCAGAACTCCTTAGCATGGTGCCCCTACAAGGTCCTTCTTACCTGCAAACTGTTAGTAAACCCTTTG